TTGGGCTCTTCACCCTTGAACTTATTAATTCAGACTCTCCAATTACTATAATAAAGAGTTAACAAAATGCTTGTATTATAGCAATTAAGTTGGAAAGTCAATAAATAGAGAAATCTATTTGTCTGAAATTAGTTCTGATAAATGTTTTGTTATAAATCTGGAAGAAGGGCCTCATGCAATAGATTTTATGCTTAGTTGCAGGTATTAATTTAATTAATGAGAAGTGGAAACAGAAAAGATACCTCCGTAATTACTTAACAGTTAAGAAATTACATACAAAAACAGTTCAGTTATGACAATTACATACTCAGACCTCATGAATCTGACCTTGTATCTCAACAATGGTAACACCTCAAATGTTTCATGCTGCAATGCATGCTGGGAGTGGCACGGTACAAATATCCCAGCATGCATTGCGGTATAAATAAATGTTGTATAATGGTCTAACAGTTTTCTTTATTTGTGTTTGATTCTGCTGTTGTTTATGTTTAGACTTTCAGTTGCCTGTTTGTGAGTTAAACTGTTAATTTTGTTAGTCGTCACCATTATTGAGGTTCATATGCTGATTATTGATGTCTCTTTGAGTGCGATTTACACCATAGAGCAGTATTATTGTCCAAGATATTCTTAAAAACTTCCAGAAATCATTGCCATATATATATATATATATATATATATATATATATATATATATATATATATATATATATATATATATATATATACATATAATGTAAAACAGTAGATTTAACATTGAATAGTGGCAGTAAATTTTATTATACTAAATGAGAACAGACTCTGCCATTTAATAGCAACATGAACATCACCAGATCTTATTTAGGTTTTTGGCTGGCTTGCCACAACAAAGGAGCTTTTTAAACAAAGTTCTTAACAATTGCAGCAGCCAAGACATATAAATGTTAATAATGACAGGGCTAAGAGCCCAACTAAAGCAAACTCTGTTCTCCATGATGGTGACGTAAAACTTTAACTTTTTCTGAAGAAGAACTTTAGTAGATGTTATACAAAAATACATGTATTAAGTAATAAGTGTAGCTGGTGATGATGATGTTTTTAGAGTTGTTTAATCATCCGCTGATCATTTAAATGATTTAATCATTTGTTGTTCTTCAGGTTATTTCATTATAAAGCTGTGACTAAAGTTTTGTATGTTCTGTTCCTGTTTTTTCCTTTCAGTATTTCTTCATTTGTTCATTGTTAATTCTCAATTATCATTTAATTAGTCAGTTAATTAATGAATTTACTTCAGCTTTGCTCCATGTTTCTTGAACACTCAGTAGTGTGGACACTTCAATAAAAACTGATGTATATGCTCTGGGGTTTAAAGGGTTAAAAGTGTGAGAGGTAAAAACACAGTGTAAAAATGTATTTTAACAGTAATATACTGTTAATTTACACTACGGAAATAGACTGTAAAAAAACAGTAGATTGCTGGCAACCACAGCTGCCAGTAGATTACTGTTAAATCAAGGAAAAAACAGTATTTTACTGTAAAACCTGAAGCTAATTTCTTCTGTATGTCACCGTTGTGGAGGAGAGTAGAGCCAGTATATGAGTTAAAGATGAACATTTAACTGCTGGTGTTATTCTGTATGTTTCTCTATTTAAAGATAGCGGCTGTTTAGTTGCTGATGCCGTCAGAATCTCTCTGGTGATTCCAGATTTACATGTATGTGTGCTGTTGTGAAAAATAAGACATTAGAGTTAAACCGAACATTTCTAATTAACTAAAATAAGTGATCATTATAAGTATGCTTCTAAGCATGTATAGCACATTACTTCATAAACTCATTCAGCAGTTGACCAAGTTGAGGCAGTTGCTTTCAGTGAGCAATATGAGTTCACTTGAGTATTGTGTAAATCAATGTAGTCCATGTATTTTTACAGCAACATACTGTAAAATAACAGTACATTGCTGGCAACTGCAGCTGCCAGTATTTTACTGTTTTTTTAACGGGACAATTTTAACAGTGTAGGTACAAGTGTAAAAGTGAAAGATTGAAGCAGTGTACTGATGCTGTGACGTTACCTGATAGATAAAAAAAGACAGAAAAGTCATTTAATAGAGACAAGATTATTTGAATATCACATTTAAAGGGCACCTATGGTGAAAAATCTACTTATCAAGCTGTTTGGACATATATGTGTGTAAATATAGTGTATACTGTCATATTGGGGTTAAATAAACACCGAGTCCTTTTTTAAAAAAAATGTTAACAACATAAAAACGGTGGACCAATTGGAGCGGTTTTCAGATCGACCGCAACTTCATGTCGGAGTGCGGTCCTTCCGCCCACCAATATTGATTGACAGCTGCGCGCATTAACATGTCTCCGTATTAATGCATACTCATATTGACAAGACAGGACGAGCACAAAGCAACCGGGAATAAAAGGTCTGTTCAGTTTGCTAGGATCATAAATCATCATCAGACGTGATCAAGAGTGAGTTTTACAAGTTTAACATGTTTTAAAACGTTTGCACGTGTGTAATGAAGTACAGCGATTCACTTCAGATTCACTTCATTAGCACAGCCGCGTGTCTCTCTCACTGTCTCTCTGTGTGTGTGTCTGCGCTGTGTATGTGTGGGTCTGACTGTCTACGCCATGTATGTGCGTGTGTGTCTGCGCTACCTGTCTGTGCAATGTGTGTGTGTGTCTGCGTGTCTACGCTATGTATGTGTGTGTGTCTGTGCTACGTGTCTGTGCTATGTGTGTGTGTGTGTGTGTCTGTGTGTCTTCGCTGTGTGTGCGTGAAGTCATTTTTGCTACTCCACAAAAAATGCATCAAAAACTGAGTTTCATTCAGAACTGTTGCACTACAACTGTCATTCAGCCAAGTTTAATTTAAAAGCATAAAAATGGAAAGTTGTGTTGATAAAATCATTGACTAATAGAAGTGACTTATTGTTTAGTGATCAGATGTTTAAAAGTGTTAACAGTTAGCTATTTTCCCTGTAGTAGTCTCAGTTCTACATTTATTAGTTACCAGAATCAATGAAATCAAAATGAAATTAGATACCAGATCAATTAAATTTGTTTTGTTCACCAGCTGAAGATGGGGCATTGTTTGGGTCCTGGCGGTGTGGCAAGAGTCGGAGTGCTCTTCCAGGTGGGCTCAGGGGTGGTTGTGGAGCAATCTGCTTTTTTGGTTGATAACTGGGGGCTTGCGGCTATGGAGTGTGAAAGTTTAGTTTCAGCAAACGCCGGTTCCTCCATCTTTTTTTAAAAAAACCCAAGAGAAGTGAGCAGGTTGACAATATGAGTGTGTCTGGTGACAGAAGCTTTGGATCTGGGGATTCTGTCTGCTGAAAAATATTGTCCTGGCTTTTTTCCTGAATATTATTATTGAGTGCTGAATCTTGATGCTGTTCTGATGTGTCAGTCTATCTGTGTTGAGTTCAGGGTGCAGACGGCAGTGGGTTTGTGGGCAGTGGTTGTTTTGGCTACTTAGCGTTATCACTGTCCTTGTGACATGCTTCAGCCCCAAGTCCACTGTGGTCATTCAGACATTTACCAGGGGTGTATGTGCCATTTGGGTTGAGTACAGTGGCACACGCAGCCAATGGATGATGTTGGGAAAAATAGATATTGTCCTTTAGCACTTTTGCACCAATTTTGTTTGGATGAAGGCCTTCTGATCTAAACAGTTGCCTTTAATTCCAGAAGAGATTGAAGTTGTTAATAAAACTCAGTCCTTTCCTGTTACATGTTTTCTGCAGCTATGCATTTAGGCCAAGCCGTGAAAACATATTTGTCCCTCTTGCAGGGAGTGGCCCACTGATGAACAGCTGAATTTTTAATCTTTTAACTGTTTCCAAGAGTTCACAGAAATCTGTTTTGAGCAGTTCTGTCTGCTCCATCCAAATATCATTCTTCCCCAACATGGATGATGACCCATTTTGCAGTCTTGTGCTTCTTCAGAGTTTCCTCAAGTTCTTTGTTTACATCAGAAACTGTTTACTGCTTCCCTCATGTTATCGTAGCCCTGCTCCTAAAATTCCTTATTATTGAATCTTTAACAATTAATGTTTTTACCTCAGCGATCAGAGAAGAATACCGTGTCTTGTTGGCCTTGAGCCTCCATTCCTTGCAGAATTAGCTGGTGAGTCATGCGACAGGTCCTTCATGATACGAGAACTTAAAGGATGAGACGGGCTTAACAGCCATCCCATTGATGTGAATGGGATCATGTGAGCCTACTCATCCCTTCCTGAAGTCCACAATGAGCTTCTTGGTCTTAGTGGTGTTAAGGAGCAAATTATTGTTTTTGCACCAAGTGGCCAGATGCTGTATCTCCTCCCTGCAGGCAGTCTCATCATTATTGCTGATTAGACCAATTTTTGCTGAAAAAGACCGATTAGACCACTGTGATGTCATCTGCAAATTTGATGATAGTGTTGGATCCATGTATGAGCCTGCAATGATGAATAAAAAATTAGTAAAAAGATGAGTCCACCAGTGTTGAGTCTGACGGTGATGGAGTGGATGTGGCCTGATCTAACATTCTGAGGTCTGTTAGTCAGAAAGTCCATAACCCAGTTGCAGAGAGAGGTGTTAATATTCAGTTCTCTGAGTTTGATCATTAACTTAGAGGGTATGACAGTGTTGAATGCTGAGCTGAAGTCAACAAACAGGATTCATGCAAAGTGTTTTTATGGTCCAAGTGTGTGAGTACAGAGTGCAGTGCTATGTAGACTGCATCTTCTGTGCTCCTGTTTTGATATGTCTATCAATTGCTTTAATTCAATAGATTCAATAAACATTTATAATAATGGATATGACAGTGTTTCTTTAAATAATTTGTAAATAGAGAAGGACACTAACTGAATAATTATAGGATAAAGAACAAAATAATGCAAAATAACCCATAAACCTTTTTAATTAGATTCATTATTAATTATTTTGTTTGGTTGCCCCAGTTCTCAAGAATTATTGTGTTACTTCAAAGTATGTTTAACAATTTTTTTTTTCTTTCAGCTCTGAAAGTGGAATATTTGAGTTGAAAGCCCCAAACATGAAGAAGAAACTCAATCCAAAAGAAACACAGGAGACAACAACAGCATGCAATTCCAAAAGGGATGTTGGCATGACTATTAAAGATTTTTCACTGGAAAAGAAGTGTTTGCGAATATCTCAAAATGATGGTTGTTTCCTTAAGTTCCTGAACGAAGACCGCCACAAGCTGTCATCATTCTGTGACACAACTGTTACAGTTTCTGGGAGGATATATCATGCACACAAGGTTGTTTTGGCATTTGGAAGTGGATATTTTCATTCCAGATTCAGTGAAAATCCTGAACTCCATCATGTTAGTATTGATAACATGGAGGGCTCCACCTTTGGACACCTGCTCAACTTTTTGTACACTTCTGAATTTGAAGTTTCAGAATGTCAAATCCCTGCTTTGGCTGAAGCTGCCTGTTTTCTTGATATGATGGAAGCTGTAAACATTTTAGCAAAGTGGGCAGCACCAGCTAATGCTGATGAAGAAAGTGAAGTTCCAGAGGAGATCCCAAATTTCCAAAACATCCAAACTTCATCTGGAACCAAGTGTTTATTTTGCAGTCGCACATTCAATTACAAAAAGTCTCTAGAGAATCACTTGGCCAAGACACACAGCACCGGTTGCCATAATGAGGAAGAACAAACTGTGGTGAGCACATCTGTGGTCACAATTCGCAGATCTGCACGTCAGAGGAGGGTACCTGCTAAATTTAAGAGCCAGGATAGTGAAAACGAGTGTGTTGTATCTGCAAAGCCGAACCAAAAAATTGCAAATCACAACTCTGTTACTTATGAGGAGGAGGAAGAGGATAATGAAAGCAAAGAAGAGAATGAAAACGAGCAGATACAGCAGGAAAGTTGGAAAGAGGGGCAAGAAGAAACATTTGTAGCTTTGGAGGTTGAGGCTGCAGAATATGAAGACTGTGAGAAGCCAAAGGAGGCATGTGTCTCTGAGGCCCAGAAGGAGACTGAACCAGCATTCAGTCATGCTCTTGAGGAGCACAACCAAAAGACAGAGGTCTCTAGTCATATTTTTCCAGAAGGACTGGCTCCTGTTGTGATCCATAGCACTAACAAAAAGAGTCTCAAGTGTCCTAAATGCGACAAGATTTTTGATCGTAAAGGTGAGATTTATGACGACAATTTCTAATGTAGCGTATGTCAGGCTATGTCAAGTTAAATGGCTCTATGTAGGTGTCTCAGTCATTGCCTTCCTTTACTTACATTTATAGGTAAATACGAGAGTCACACCAGAGTACACACGGGAGAAAAACCATTCCAGTGTGACATCTGTCTTCAATGCTACTCCACCAAATCAAACCTCACTGTGCACAAGAAGAAACATGATAGTGGCACACCTGTTCAAAGGAAAGAGCACAAATGTCCCTTCTGCAACAAGCTTCATGCCAGCAAGAAGACTCTAAGCAGACATGTGAAGAGGTGAGTGGGAATCCACACAAAACCTGTTCTGAACATATTCTGAGCAAAATAGAGAAACTTTTCTTGTTGGATGGATCTGAGATTAATTATGCTGACTGCTACAAATACTCTAATCTTGTTAGACAGTAAACTCATTTATTTATTTAAACAGAGACAGTGCTCGTTAATCAACAGTGATATCTGTAAATAAGCCAGAGCTACCCCCAATGACTAATTTTCATCTGTTGCCCTTGTCAGATTTAAAAAAGACAACCTTAAAGGGCCATGAAATCCAGCTCTGTTTAGGGGGGAGTGTCGGAGGAACTAAAGTGGGAGTGTCTATTTGGGCACGCGCAAGTTTAAGAGTCAAAATACACACACATACACACAGGAGAAAGTGATGGTGTTTAACCTACATGGACATCTGTAGTCGAATTATTTGCCAAATTATTAAATGTTGGACTTTAACTGCAGTTTGGCTCTTTTATTCAGGGAATTCATTCATGCCCCTCGCGACAAAAGAAATATTTGATTCGAGGAACTGATCTAAGCATGTGTTTTTCATGCAATGTTTGATACCGCACAGCGAATGAGAGAAAAAAAAACCTCAGCATTTCCCGGAAACTTAGATGCACACGGCAGGTAGTGTCAGAAAGCCGCGTGTGTTATTCCGGTCACAAAATACGGTAAAAACCCTACACGAGGTTAAAGTTTGGTTGTGGTGCTAACATGTTTACACTCGGTGCAATAGTTAACTTAGTTCGATACGAACAAACTGAATAAACAAAGAGCACTGGTCGCTCACTTTGCAAATCTGCAGAGACAGGACAATCACCAGCAACTAGAACCGCACGTTTATTAAGAGGAGACTACAAGCGAATCCGGATCTCAGCGTTTGCAGATGAGAACAGCTCTCAGGTAAACAATAATCCTCCTTAGACACGTAAGTTCTTGTTGTCGAGTGTCACGTACACTGTTAATCCACACGTGACTCCAGATGAGCTCTCACAGAGAGAAAATGAAAACAAAACTTAACGGCAGCAAACTATAAAAGCAAGACTTCACGCTTGTTTTGCCAACACAACGTGGCGTCTGTCATGTAAACACGGTGACAGTAATGAATATTAATGAAGTTGCACAATAGAACGCACTGATTGGTTTGAACCAAGCCTTACTCATGCAATAATGCATCACACTGTAAGACGTAATAAGACACACTCTGGCACAGACGCCCAGTCTGCACGCTGGAATACAACGCTATTATGTCATGACCGTGACGCAGCTTCAAAAATTCGTTTCAAACGGAAGTACGAATTTGCTTAAAATAACGCAAAAACAACCAATTTACACTTTTTAGTGAAATATAGGTGTCCTAATAGTGTTTTTAGCAGTGTGGGACACATATATGACTGTCAACAGCTCAAACAATGTGTTTTGGTGTTTCGTGACCCTTTAAAGAGGAACTGATAAATTCTCACATACACATACGATGGCATTATATGCACAGAGTTAAACTATTACATTTAATAACACTATGATAACAAACAAAAAAGAAAATAATACAAAAGTACAATCTTGATTTACTTTTAGCCATTCTATTAGCTTTTATTAAAATGTTGAATCATTTTTTGTAAAACCCCAGGACAATTGTGTGTTTGAAAAGTGATTCAGCTTAGAAGTACACTGTCGTACTTGTTTGTGACCAACTAAGACAATATTTAATATGAGAAAACATTCATTCAGTGCTCAACGTTTTGCTGCTTCTGTTGTAAAACAAGTTTTTATATTCTTCAATTTGCCATAAATTTGCCTTTTTGTAATGCTTTTTAAATGTCAGTTGAGAATCTTTAATTAATTGTTGATATATAAAATAAGAAACAACCCTTAGCTATAAAAAAAACTTGTTTTTCTGCTGCAAGCTGAATGGATCTAGTAAAGTAGCCATTTCGTTCATAAAGATCGGGAAAAGGGTTACTGAGAGTTATTTCAACCTAACAGACACCTCCTCCTCACCATTTCTGTTTGTTGTCAAAACAGACAGTTGCAACAGCGTGGTTAAATATGTTAGCCATGCCCAATATCTAAGACATCCATAATCTGACAATTTAACTGAAAAACAAAAATACAAAAGAAACAGACATTTTAGGAACATTTCATGCATGCCCCCCGTGACAAACAAGGTATTAGATACGAGTATGAACTGCTGGATTAGTGTTTTTTTTATTGGAATTTGATTCTGCACACTGATTGGGAGAAGAAAAGCCCTCCAAATTTAGCAATGTTTTTCACTGACTCGGTAGGTGCAGAGAATAGCGTCTAACAGCTGTGTGTGTGTATAGACTATTCTATAACATTTATAATAACTACACACTATAAATCATTTATTAAGCATTAGCAAATAGTGAATTCATTGTCCGTTAAGCATTAACTCTTTATTAATAAATGTTAGTAAGCAGTTTATAACTGCAGCTACAAATGCTCTATTCTTGACTTATAACCACATTTAAAATGTGCTTAATAATTGTATTTTCATACTTAGTAAATGATTTATTTTTCATTACTAAATTAAGTATCGCATTATTTACAAACCAGTTGTATTTAAGAGTAGTTGAGGGTTTTTATGATCATTCAGAATGAGTTAGTAAATGATTAATAAACTATTGAAATCAACGTTTATATGTCTTATTATTCAGGCATATATTAATGGTTACTATGTATGTTAATAAAAGCTTTATTAACTCAACTTCACCTAGTTTTGTGACCTAATCTAAAGTGAGGACTATTCATGCTTTATAAATCCTTTATAAATTACAAATAAAGGCTTAGTTAAATTCTAAACAGGAAAAATTACATTATTCATTCCTATTCAATTAAAGATACACAAATGAAACTGTACTTCAAATAAAAAATAAATATTTGCAACCTGATCTAAAATAAAATCACTGTAGAGTTTAAACATTACATTTCATTACATTGTTTAATTATTAAATTGTTGTTTTATCCAGTTTTGTCGTATTTTGACAATCCTGTTATTCAGCAATGTTTAAACTTTACAGTAATTTTACATTTTAGTAAAGATTGCCAAGATTATAGTTCATTTGATTCTGAGCCTTTATTTGTCATTTATAAGGGATTTATGAAGCATAAATAGTCCTCACTTTAGATTAGGTCACAAAACTGCATGAAGTTGAGTTAATAAAGCATTTATTAACATATTAGTTGACTATTAGTATATGCCTGAATAATAAGACATATAAACGTTGATTTCAATAGTTTATTAATCATTTACTAAATCATTCTGAATGATCATAAAAACCCTTAACTACTCTTAAATACAACTGGTTTGTAAATAATGCAATACTTAATTTAGTAATGAAAAATTAATCATTTACTAAGTATGAAAATACAATTATTAAGCACATTTTAAATGTGGTTATAAGTCAAGAATAGAGCATTTGTAGCTGCAGTTATAAACTGCTTACTAACGTTTATTAATGTAGAGTTAACGGATAATGAATTCGCTATTTGCTAATGCTTAATAAATGATTTATAGTGTGTAGTTATTATAAAGTGTTACCGACTATTCTGTCACAAAAGGCGCGAAAATAATATTCTAGTGATATTACTGTAAACTTAGTAACTAAATCATTTTGACTAAGGTACAGTTGAAGTCAGAATTATTGACCAATGTTGCGAAGGGATGCTATGCAAACTGGGGTAGTTCCAAATGCAGCTTTATTATAAGAATAGTCAATCAGGCAAGGGTCAAATACCAGTATAAACAGTGTAGTAGGCAATCCAGAAGCAAATCCAATAAAACAGGCAAAAGGTTCGGGGCAGGCAGAAAAGGGTCAAAACACGATAAACAGTCCAAAAGTCAAAAACACAGGCAACAGGAAACAAGGAAAAAGCTTACGTAAGAACAGCAACAGCTTAACAATACTCAGCAACATGTGTGTGGAACAGAGGGGTTTAAATAGTCCGAATAATGATAGTTTGAATGGCTTCAGCTGTGAGAGTGTAATCAGTCTGGATCTTGAACCGGTTGTGTGTGTGTGTGTGTGTGGCCTGACTGGGTGTTGTAGTCCATAACATGGCAGATATGTAGTTCAAGGAGTGTGAATGTTTACCAGCGACCTCTGATGGTTAGCGATCGCTGGTAATCATGACATAGCCCCTTCTTTAAGGAGTGGATTCCAGACACTCCTAATACTGTTCAGGCAGGAGGTGGAGCGGAGGCGGAACAGGGGGAGGGATGGAGGGCCAGGACCATGCAGCAGGGGCGTACCTGAAGCATGGAGCTGAGGCGGGCCTGGAGCGAGGAACTGCGAAAGCCCTGGAGCGAGGAGCTGCGAAAGCCCTGGAGAGTGGAGCTGCGGAGGGCCTGGAGCGTGGAGCTGCGGAGGGCCGGGGGCGGGGAGCTGCGGAGGACCTGGAGCGGGGAGCTGCGGACGACCTGGAGCGTGGAGCTGCGGACGACCTGGAGCATGGAGCTGCAGTGGGTCTGGAACCTGGAGCTCTGGTATATCTGGGGGCTTGGGTTCAGCAGGCAAAGAAGGGTTAAACACCCACAGTGGGTCGGGAGGCTTTGGTTCATAGAGCTTGGACAGTCAGGAGGCTTGGACACAGGAAGCACTAGCAGTTCTTCAAACCCTAATGGGTCGGGAGGCTTGGAAACAGGAGGTACTGGCAGTTCTTCAAACCCCAGTGGGTCGGGAGGCTTAGGCACAGGAGGCACTGGCAGTTCTTCAAACCCCAGTGGGTCAGGATGCTCTGGGAGGTCACATGGCTCTGGGAAATCACATGGCACTGACAGCTCTGAGAAGTAACACAGCTCTGGAGGCGACGGCCATTCAGGAAGCTCAGGTGGCGGCGGCGGCCATTCAGAAAGCTCAGGCGGCAGCGGCCATTCAGGAAGCTCAGGCGGCAGCGGCCATTCAGGAAGCTCAGGCGGCAGCGGCCATTCAGGAAGCTCTGGCGGCGGCCATTCAGAAAGCTCAATTACCACATTGTGAGCTGGA